TAATTAAAAGTTTGGATTCGAAAACCAAAAGAGGTTTTTGTAGCATTATACTACGAGTTTTCAAGTTAAAGACTTAAAACTTTTAAATTATATGTAAAATTAAGAGCTAAGCAAGTTTACTTAAGATATTAAAAGCAATTATCTTAATAAAATATTGTGTTATTAGAGATTTTGTTTAGGCAAATTTTTAGTTAAATTTTGTATAAGTGATTGACAGAAAGAGTTTTTTCCTGTTCAAACAATAAATTCTAAGTATATATAATTTATATAGTAATCTGTATTATATTATACTAAGATCATTTTCTGTTGAGGGCCAAATTATCAATTAAAGATAAAAGGTATACAAATTATTTTTTATAGTAATCATATAGTAAATCATTTTATAATAGCAAATCAATTGTATTTATATGTTATTTATATTGTACTACTTAGAAAAATTTTGTATTACCTAAAAAATTTACTAGTAAACAAATCAGATGATCGACATGTGATACTCTCTATCTTTAAAGAAATTTTATATATTAGTCAAATGTTTTTTAAAGATTTTTCAAGAACTATCAAACTGATTTTAATATTCTTATTATTATTAGATATATCTTAATGAGCTCTACAATTTTTATTAAAAGGTTAAGAATGATTTATTTGATAAGAAAAAAAGTTTTAGATTAAACCATTTCATATTTAGTTCAATAATAAAATTTATTTATAAAAATTTACAAATCTTCTCCAAATAACAGTTTAAAATTTAAAAATTAATTAATAAAAAGTTATTTAAATTTATATAAATTTTTTATTTTTTATTTTTTTTTAACCTTTATATATTGCAGAAGGGTAAATTTTATTAAATATTTAATAGTATATTCTTGGTTAATAAGAGTATATTTAGCGGATGTTTTATAGAATAGATAGGCAAACTCTGCAAACTTTGCAACTTCGATATTAAAAAATTAATGATTACTAATTATTAGCGAAGCTTATTTCTTATATTACTCACTTATTCTATAGAATATCCTATTTAGCTATATATGCAACTTTGGTTGTATATTTAAATAGTCTGCTCTAAGGTTTTATACTATATAATATATCTGTAATCTAATTAGAAGATTACTTATTTAAACTCTTTAATATCCTCTGTTTTGTATTACCACCTCAATTATGCTAGTCTATAATCTTGTGCTGCTTTAATTGAAGACTACTTAGATCAATATGTATTATACTACTTGTGCTCTAATTCTATAAATAATCTAATAGGGTTCTTATACTATCAGATTACTCTAAAGAAGGTGTAGTATATACTCCTAATCTTTTTATATCCTATACATTTTTAAATTAGACTTTGAAAACCTTCTACAATAGCCAAAACTACCACTAGCAGTCAGGACTAACTATTAAACTACACAATTCTGGTATTCATACTCTTAAAAGATTTGTTCTGATCCTAATACCCATATCAAACCAATTCTTATATCAATTCCTTCTAAACTACCAAACCAATTAGCCCAGATGGATTATTATACTTAGACTTTAAGTGCTTTTTGGTTTTACTTCTTTTGGTTACTAATTTTGTAACAAAGGATCTTTTCTCTAATATGACTTAGATGATTAGATTAATGAACTCTTTTTGGCTCAGTATTTTCATCTGTTTTTTTTAGTCTCCAGTTCTGGATTTCTACAGTATTATTGAAGATCTTCATTATCTTCTTGCTTGAGTCTTGCTAAATAAGTTTCAATTATTTTGGTTCTTTGAATTTTGATCACCTAAGAGCTTTAATTTTAAAATAATAATACCAAGGTTATAGATGATATATCTAACTAATTGTTAAATAAATATTAATAATATATAGACCTATTTTTTTAAAAACTTCTTTAGAAAGATTTGAACTCTAGATTTGCCACTTGGAAGATGACAACTTAATCACTACTCTAAGTATTATACCCACTCAATAATCTTCAAATTTATACAAATATAAAAGTTACAAAGAGAGCAATTAGCATAAATAAAATTAAATATAAAAGAAAATTAAATAAATACTTCTTATTTTAAAAAGTCTAAGCCTTCAAATACTATGAGATTCTATAGTTTTCTTAATTTTAGAAGATCAAATAGATAGAATAAAAAATAATAGAAGGTTTTTGTAATCTTATAAAAAAAGTATAATAAAATTCAGATATTAATAATTTAAAATTTATTTGTTTATTCTTTTATTTAATAATATATTCATATTAAATTAGTATAAAATTTCTTCTAAAGTGCATTTTAAAAAAAAAATAAATAAAAAATTAGAACAAAAAAATGGAAACCAATATCGATAGTAATATTAGAACACAAGAAATTGTAAATACACTGATTAATCATACCCAAACTTATTTTAATACACGATCATTATATATCCTCGAAGAAAAAAATGTGTATCTTAAATTCGCATTGCCTTTAAGTGCCTATCGTGACTGGATAAAGAAAGAAGAAAAGTCTAAAAATATTAATTTTATAAAAAATCATGGTACTTACATTAATAAAAATGACAAAGGTTCTTGGTCAGAATACTATTCTTGTTCATGCGCGGGTAGTAAATGTATATGAAATGACCGTGTAGAAGGAGGAAACTCAAATAAAAAACGACAAATCCAAAAAGAAACCAAAAAAGTTGGCTGTGAGTGCACCTTACAAGCTCACTATAATCTGTCTAATTTTTCTGAAGTAGTTGTAATGCACTATTGGTATGAGCATAATGGACATGTGCCTGGTAGTCGCGCTGATGTTAAATATTTAAAAAAGTCTGAAGAGATTATTACTGAAATTAAAACATTTGCACAGCAAGGACTATCTCTTTCAGCAATTCGCCAGTTAATGAAAACACCTACAGAAATAACTGAAAAGTTTTTTTTTAATTTGGTTTCATAAAGCTAAACAAAAAATTAAATATCTTGTTTTCATAATATGGAAATTTTAAATCGACCCAACCAGCTTTTTTTAAAAAATTTCATATATGAAATTTTATAAAATTTTTATTAAAACCTATCTGGTTATTGAAACATAAAAAATTTTCCTTAAAAGTTTGACCTGGCCGGTAGTGTTACAAATTGGAAAAATTTTTTCAATCGATTAGTTGGTTAATTATTTTTCTAGTTGGTTGCAACTAATCAATTAATCGATTAGTTGGTTAATTATTTTCCAGTTGGTTGCAACTAATCGATTAATTGATTAATTGATTAGTTGCAAATAATTCATTAAGTAAATAAATAATTTTTCATTCGATTCATTTGCAACAATCAATTAGTTGTTGTCTAAAAAGTTCAATCGATTAGTTGTCAACTAACCAACTAATCAATTTTTTCAACTTTCGATTTGTAATACTACCGGGTTATGAAAACCAATTAATTAATTTTGCACTATTAAATTCTAAATTGTAACTATATAATTTTTAATTTCTACATATTCAGATATTTTACCTCCAATGATGTTGTTCCAAGCCGAGACGAACTGTTAACATATGAAGATATATATAATATTATATATAAGGAAATTCATATGAAATATCACTATGATGATTATGACATGAAAAGTATTCGACAATAGGCTGATACTTTAAGAGAAAATAAGAAAATACCTGACAATTTAAATAGCTCTGTTCTTTCATTGTTTCAAATTCCTGATGGTAATCAAAAATTTCAACTTGAATTTCATACTCTGTGGTAGTTCAAACTTTATTGCAAATATCATGAGGTTGTTTATTATCAAAGTTATTAATAAAATCATTTAATTTTGCAATACAAAATGCATAAAATATAATTAACAATTAACTACATACCTTTTTTTTTTTTTTTTTTTTTTTTAATTTTGTTTTAGATTATTCATATAGACTCTATGCACAACACAAATTGTTATAAATATGCGTTATTCACAATTTTGATATATCATCCTTATAGCGGTCGTGGTGTGCCATTAGCATAGCTACTAACAGAATCCAGTATTAGCGAATTAATTGGATCATAGCTTCGTGCATTAAAATCAGATAGATGGATCCTGTGAATGTAATATTAGACAATGATGATGCGGAAATAAATGCTATTCGGGAGGTTTTTTCTACCTCCAATATTTTTTTGTGCTGATGGCATGTTAAATGTGCTTGGCTTCGATGGACCACCAAAAAAATGAAGATAAATGTGACAATTTGTATCATGACCTTGAACAGCTACTTCATACTAAAAATATAGATAAAGTAAATTCTATTCTAGCCCAGTTTGAACAAAAATAGCAAAACACACTTGCTTTACAATACTTTAATACCCAATATCGACACAAG